TTTCTTTTATAATATGTTATAGTAGACTAAAAACTAAGCGACACGTATTTTTTTTATCTGCCATTAAACACTTTAAGGGGGTGAAACCACCATCCAAAGTAAGGCCTGTGAGGGGTGGCTCACCCCTTATTTTTTTTTTAATTGAGAAAATTATATTTTTCATTTCTCGTTATGAGAAAGCTTTCCAGGTGGATCAATTAAAAAATAATGTTCTTGTGGGTGGAACTGCCAAATTGCCCCTTGACGCCTTACTTTGGATGGTGGTTTCACCCCCTTAAAGTGTTTAATGGCAGATAAAAAAAAATACGTGTCGTTTAGTTTTTAATCTAGAGGTGTCTTATCTAATCTAGAGGTTTTTAATCTAGAGAGGTGTCTCAGACATTATATAAATTAATTGCTTATTGATACCCCTAATATAAGACATTTCGTGCAATATTTTCGTTGGAATATTTTCAAAACATTTATTTTGAGCTATTATTCTGACAAGGAAGGTATCCCAGGTCGATCTCTCCGATTTGATTTCTTTTATAATATGTTATAGTAGACTAAAAACTACGCGAAAGGTATTTTTTTTTTATCTGCCGTTAAACACTTTAAGGGGAGAAAACCACCATCCAAAGTAAGGTCCGTGAGGGGTGGCTCACTCCTTAATTTTTGTTTTAATTGATAAAATTATATTTTTCATTTCTCGTTATGAGAAAGCTTTTCCAAGTGGATTGGTTAAAAAATATAAATTTGTGTGAGTGAAACTGCCAAATCGCCCCTTGACATGCCTTACTTTGGATGGTGGTTTCACCCCCTTAAAGTGTTTAGTGGCAGATAAAAAAAAATTCGTGTCGTTTAATTTTTAGTCTACTATAACATATTATAAAAGAAATGAAATCGGGGAGATCGACCTAGGATACTTTCCTAGTGAGAGGTGTCTTAGACATTATATAAATTAATTGCTTATGGGTACCCCTAATATAAGACATTTTGTGTAATATTTTCGTTGCAATATTTTCAAAACATTTATTTTGAGCTATTATTCTGACAAGGAAGGTCGATCTCTCCGATTTGATTTCTTTTATAATATGTTATAATAGACTAAAAACTATGCGATACGTATTTTTTTTTAACTGCNATAAAAGAAATGAAATCGGGGAGATCGACCTGGGATACTTTCCGTGTAAGACTATTCCAAAAGGTCCCTCCCTGCCTGTTCTTTTCTCAATTTGATCGGGAACATTTAGGTTAAGTACTACAAAATAGAAACAGTAACGGATTTGAAATTTGAAAGACACGGTAAATTGTGAAAGTTGTTGAAAGTGGCACTTACAATGATCTCTTAGGGGCGTTAAGATCCTTGATGTGTTTACGTTTCTTTCCTCGGCCCGTCGTTTTTTCTCCTTTCGGCGGTGTGTAATTTTGCATTTCGGCGTCGTATCTTTTCTTGTCCTTCTCAGCCATTTCGTGAAAGCGCTTCTTCTCCTTGTCTGACATAGTCTGTAAAATAGAGAATATACATGCAATTTTCTACACAATCATTCTACCTTAATATCATTACATTATTTCAATAATTCACATGCATTTGTACGCATTATTGCTGAAGTGCTATTGTTATTACTTCAGGCATACAGGTAACCCTTCAATAACACGATAGATATGTTTTTAGAAAATGCCGTGTTGGGTGAAACCGTGTTATATGAGACTTGGAGCCAATACAAAATATATAAAGTATATAAAGCTGGAATTGCCACTTGATCACAATTCAATAAAATTTGTTGCTAATTTATTGCTATTTTATTGTACGAGAAAAAAATGTTTGCTCTTATACTTTTCTCAAAAATGGTGGCGATGTCAGCTTTATATAAAGCTAGTACTGTCACAATAAAAAACAATTATTAAGTAACATAAAAGATGTATATAAAGCTGGAATTGCCACTTTAACACAATTCAATAAAATTTGTTGCAACATTTATTGCTAATTTTTGCTATTTTATTGCACGAGAAAAAAATTGTTACTCTTGTACTTTTCCGAAAAATGGTGGCGATGTCAGCTTTATATAAAGCTAGCACTGTCACAATAAAAAACAATTATTAAGTAACATAAAATATGTATATAAAGCTGGAATTGCCACTTCAGCAATATTCAATAAAATTTGTTGCAAAATTTATTGCACGAGAAAAAGAATTGCAAAAAATTTAATTTTTTTTAAATCGTTGCAGGAACGTTCCATTCTTCGAGCAGCTGGTGACTTCTTGGTCGGTTTATAAAACCCCTAGTCGCTTAAAAAAATGACTAGCCGGATTGTACGATAAAGTATACAAAGATTTGACCATCCGGCTGCATTTTATAAAACGGCTAGGCGTTTTACTAAACGTCGGATTTACAATTTGACTGCGACATATATACACGATGATACCTAGAAGTAAGCTTCGGATAGTTTATATAAGATGTTGAAGACATTGGAGAAGTATACGAAGAATAATATAGAAAAGAATTACGAAATGCTGAATTCTACAAATTGGGTACGACACACACCCACCCACACAAACACGTACACGCGCGCGCCCAACACACACGATGATAGTTAGGAATAAACTTCAGATAGTTTATATAAGATGATGAAGTCATTGGAGAAGTATATAAAGAATAATATAGGAAGGAATTACGAAACGCTGAATTCTACAAATTGGGTACGACACACACCCACCCACACAAACACGTACACGCGCGCGCCCAACACACACGATGATAGTTAGGAATAAACTTCAGATAGTTTATATAAGATGTTGAAGACATTGGAGAAGTATATAAAGAATAATATAGGAAAGAATTACGAAACGCTGATTTTACAAATCGGGTACGACACACACTCATCACACGCACGCGCGCGCCCACCCACACACACACGATGATAGTTAGGAATAAGCTTCAGATAGTTTATATAAGATGTTGAAGACATTGGAGAAGTATATGAAGATTAATATAAGAAAGGCTAATATAGGAAAGAATTGCAAAACGCCGGATTTTACAATCTGGCTACGCCATATATGTATGGTGATACCTAGGAATAAGCCTCGGATACATTATATGAGATACTGAAGACATTGGAGAAGTATATAAAGAATAATATAAGAAGGAATTACGAAACGCTGAATTTTACAAATTGGGTACGACACACACTCACCCGCACAAGCGCGCGCGTCCACCCACACATACATGATGATAGTTAGGAATAAGCTTCAGATAGTTTATATAATATGTTGAAGACATTGGAGAAGTATATGAAGAATAATATAGGAAAGAATTACGAAAAACTGAATTCTACAAATTGGGTACGACACACACCCACCCACACATACACGCACATGCGCGCGCGCGCCCAACACACACGATGATAGTTAGGAATAAAGTTCAGACAGTTTATATAAGATGTTGAAGACATTGAAGAAGTATGTAAAGAGTAATATAGGAAAGGCGAAAAATGATTTCTTGAAGGAGAGAAAGAAGAAAAAAGAATAAGGTGTGAGCACACGAAAGCGAAAGAGTTGAGTAAGCAAGAATAGCGTCATTTGGGCTTCTAGGTTATGCAGTACATGGTTCTCCAAGAATCTAATAAACCCGACTGCTAAAGTCAGAGAATATTTAAAACAATTTTGGGAGTAACGGAACAGTTTAAGATAGGGAAATTGAACAGAAAAAGTGTACTTAGTAAGTGGCGTTGTAAAGTCGACGTTGGCATAGGAGTTTGAGGTATGGGGTAGGTAGAAACAGAGGAAATATGTACTTATGGGAATAGTTTACGAAAATGGTATGCAATTGTAGATAAATACATGTATACAAGGCGAATGGAGTCTGGTACACATATGCAGAATCTGAAGTCTAGAAAGCAAACAAATAATTACATACATGCAAAAGTCTCAGAGGAGAGCTAACAAGGAAGGTATCCCATATTTCATTTTGTTTGCCCACCCCTAAAGGGGTGAATCGCCACCCTTAGTACTGATCGCAGGACAGAAACATGAAAAACATGGAAGAATCGAACTATTTCTTGCGTGGGAATTAATTGCTAATTAATTGCTTCGAGAGGAACCTAATTACCAATTTTTAGCACAACCCCTAAGATGGTAAACCAACCCCTCTTATGTCACCCCAGCATGCAAACAATTCGAAATTAGGTTCTTCTCGGAGCAATTAATTAGCAATTAATTCCCACGCAAAGAAATAGTTCTATTCTTCCATGTTTTTCATGTTTCTGTCCTGCGATCAGTACTAAGGGTGGCGATTCACCCCTTTAGGGGTGGGCAAAAAAAATTGAAATATGGTTTTCCTGCAGGCAATTAATTAGCAATAAATTCTGGTATATAATTAATTGATGAACATTTACATAATAATTTTTTTTTATTGTGGAAGTGCTAGCTTTATATAAAGCTGACATCGCCACCATTTCTCGGACAAGTATAAGAGCCAAACATCTTTTTTCTTGTTTAGTATAATAGCAATAAATTTTGCAACAAATTGTATTGAATTATGCTAAAGTGGCAATTCCAGCTTTATATACATACACGGATCGGATGTGGGTAAATCGACCTTTAGAGTTCATCTGAAAAAATATAAACACTAAATGATTTCTTCTAAATATTCTAACTTGTCTGAACTAAAAAGAAATGTATAAAGAAGAATGAAAGTAGCATGCGCAAATGCTCACGCAAATGTATATTAGAAGACGAAAGCAGAAAGAGGAGAAAGAAAAGGAGCTTTCAAGAAGTGAAGCGATGCCGGACATTTTCAAGTTGCATTCACTTTGAAAATAGTTTACACGTCAATTAGAAAAGAATTAAAGACTTTCAGAGAATAATTTTATGATATTACGTATACACTGGGAGACATCAATGCCCTCCAATCCTGCACAAGCGATGCCGTATCTGCAGGGGAGGCATTCATGTCCACCATCGTACACTGGGAGACATCAATGCCCTCCAATCCTGCACAAGCGATGCCGTATCTGCAGGGGAGGCATTCATGTCCACCATCGTACATGGAACTAGAACTATTAATTTATACCCAACAATTCTTTCTGGATATTTGACTTGAAAAGGAAATGTACCAAAAATAAAAATCGCAATTCAAAGATTTTAAATTATAAAAGGATAATATTAATCATAAAAGAATCCACGATATCGTTAACCTGAACACGATGAAGAGTATAGAACGTTCCGAAAAGGATATAGAGATAGAAAATTCTAACTTCAATATTTATTCGCTCTAATGTTGCCGTTACATTTATATATATTAATTTTAAGTTTATCATATCTTGAAAGAATTGTGGTCCAACTGACGCCCAACTCTGGTTGCAGTCTGTAACCAAGGTTGGCATCTAAAAAAAAGTCTCAACCAACTTCGATAGTTGTATAAGATGGAGTTTCTTCTAGTCGTACACGGAGAAAAATGAATTATCAGAATTTCTTGAATTTCTAGCAATCATTCCCATATCGTATGGTAATTCAGGGAGATGGGGTTGCCTGGTAATACTTCGTTAGAGACTGTTTCAGTCATTACTATGCTCGTTTAGTAACTTCTTAACGTAGATCGGTATCTTTTAGGTATCGATCGAAAACAGGAAATGAAACGAATACGTTGCTCAGCATCGTGTCCTGGACTGTATAGTAATTGCCACCAAATATTGAATTGGGAACTAAGTGATTGCGGATTTTTTAATACCATCTATCGACAGAATCTGCGATCGTTTAGTTGCCAAGCCAATAGGGATGTTGGAATCAACTATCTCCAAATTCTAACTTCCATTGTATCAATTCTTTATCGTTGTTGCTATACCGCCCTGGACTGTATAGTATAGTAATAACTACCAATCATTTAGTTGCCAAGCCAGTAGATGGCTGGAATCAACTATCCCCAAATCCTAATTTTCATTGTATCAATTGTTTATCGTTGTTGCCATACCGCCCTGGACTGTATAGTATAGTAATAACTACCAATCATTTAGATGCCAAGCCAGTAGATGGCTGGAATCAACTATCCCCAAATCCTAATTTTCATTGTATCAATTGTTTATCGTTGTTGCCATACCGCCCTGGACTGTATAGTATAGTAATAACTACCAATCATTTAGATGCCAAGCCAGTAGATGGCTGGAATCAACTATCCCCAAATCCTAATTTTCATTGCATCAATTCTTCGTAATTACCACCAAATATTGGGTTGGGAACTAAGTGATTGCGGATTTTTTAATACCATCTATCGACAGAATCTGCGATCGTTTAGTTGCCAAGTCAATAGGGATGTTGGAATCAACTATCTCCAAATTCTAACTTCCATTGTATCAATTCTTTATCGTTGTTGCTATACCGCCCTGGACTGTATATAGTAATTACCACCAAATATTGGATTAGGAAGAAAGTGATTGCGGGTTTTTCAATACCATCTATCAATAAAATCCGCAATCATTTAGTTGCCAAGCCAATAGAAAGCTGGAATCAACTATCTCCAAATTCTAATTTTCATTGTATCAATTCTTTATAGAGTTTATAGATTACCAGAGTGTTCTAAATTGTCTTAAAATTATCCTGACCCTTTCGATTCTCATATCAGAGCCTTCGATAATTGTAGACTGATCGAAATATGATAGCTCGACGCCATTTTGGTTCTGGTCTGGGCTGAATTACAACATTCTTTTAAAAAATCCAAATTTTGAATGTATCAGGACAATTCTTAGACGATCAGGAGTGATGTGTCAAAGTTGTTGACAGTTTGGTCTAATACCCTTAAAAAAAAGTGTTGTATTCGAATCGACTGATTTGAAGGGGGTCTCCCTTCACCTTAAGGTGAAGTGAAACACGTCGAGGAACTTGATCGACATCGATAAAGAAGATTTTTCTAAATGCCTACGTTGCCGAGTTATATTGGGTATTGTACCAAATGGCATACTCCACCTGTCGTTTTCGTATGATAATTATAAAGAAATCGAAGTAAAACTCCAGAAATCCTCTGGATTCGTGCTTTCTGGGGCCCTAATTTACTGCAGAGGGACCCTCTGCGCCATCTGTGATATCCAGGTGAATTAAATTTTCCCTCCGAGACCTCGTATTCCCATCGTTTTGCACAGAAGCGCATACAACACTTTTTTTTGCCCTTATCTTGTTCAAATGCGAGTTTATCAATTACCAGAGTGTTCTAAATTGTCTTAAAATTATCCTGACCCTTTCGATTCTCATATCAGAGCCTTCGATAATTGTATACTGATCGAAAAATGAGAGCTCGACGCCATTTTTTTTCTGGTCTGGGCTGAATTAAAACATTCTTTTAAAAAATCCAAATTTTGTATGTATCTGGACAATTCTTAGACGATCAGGAGTGATGTGTCAAAGTTTTGGACAGTTTGGTCCAATACCCTTAAAAAAAAAGTGTTGTATTCGAATCGACTGATTTGAAGGGGGTCTCCCTTCACCTTAAGAACGATCCATTCCACAATGTTTTCCTTTTGCCATACGCTATAGTAAAGAATCCTCGAATGTCCGAAACATTTTTCCCCCGTGTACAGAGGAGGTTTAAATGAAACACCCCATCCATGAGATTTATAAAAATGTACACTTTTTGCAACGTCGAGAAGGTAAAGCAATTACAAAGGTAATTTTAAGCGGTAAAGAAAGGATGCAAGAATTTCTGTAAAAGGAGACAAAAGTAGGAGGGACGATAAGTGAGAATCGAAGCAACAACGTAAGAATAGGATACTTTACCTTCCACCTCATAGCGCATTTTCTGGAGAACTCCTGGAAGACGATTCTCTCTTCGGGGTGTTTCTTCTTATGCTCTTGGCGGCATGTCTGAACGAAGAAAGCATATGCGGTCATCCGTCCCCTCGGCTTTGCGTCGGTCGCCTTTCCCCTCGGCATGTTCTCTCGCTGCAGACTTTGAGCGTTATTTTGTTGAAGATTATTTTGCTGCTGCGGCAGCTGCTGTATCTGATGCTGCAATCAAATCGGAATAATATATCACTTGTGTATTCGCTGGCGCAGAATTTGTGCACATTGACAATATTGTATGTATGTACCGTAGGCACCCCCACATCGAAAATATGGAATGAAACCTATGGGGGAATTTAGTGATTTTTTAGTGCTATTTTGGTGCTACAACCTCGATTTTAGATGTATGTACAGTAGGCACCCCCACATCGGAAATATGGAATGAAACCTATTGGGGAATTTAGTGATTTTTTAGTGCTATTTTAGTGCTACAACCTCGATTTTAGTGCTCCACCCCTTATACCGAAAATAGGTGGGGGTGCTGAGTGAACGTTCACTCAGCACCCCCACCTATTTTTGGGTATCCAAGACAGAAAAGGTAGAAATATCAAAATTTGCACGTTCTCTTTTCGCATTATTTTGGTGCTATTTATGTGCTCTGTGGATACCCAAGATATCCTTAAAGCACTTAAACAACACCAAAATAATGCAAGAGAAGAACGTACAAAATGTGTTATTATTTCTACCTTTTCTATCTTGGCGCTTATACGATCGGGGGTAGTTTTAGCGTGAAAGGGATGATGTTTCGATTCCGTCTCTTAGGTATTCCTAAAGCACTTGAATAGAACCAAAATAATTCTAGAAGAGAACACGCAAAATGTTACTATTTCTACCTCTTCTCTCTTGGCGCTTATACGATCAGGGGTAGTTTTGGGGTAAAAGGGGTGATGTTTCGATTCCGTCTCTTAGGTATTCCTAAAGCACTTAAATAGAACCAAAATAATTCTAGAAGAGAACACGCAAAATGTTACTATTTCTACCTCTTCTCTCTTGGCCCTTATACGATCGGGGGTAGTTTTGGGGTGAAAGGGGTGATGTTTCGGATCCGGCTCTTGGGTATCTCTAGAGCACTAAAATAGCACTAAAATACTGCATACTCGTTTTTTCCGTGAATCTTTCCCTTAACGTAGTATGCACTGTGGGGGTGCTTAGTGAACGTTTACTCAGTACCACCACCGATGTTCGGTATAAGGGGCGGAGCACTAAAATCGAGGTTGTAGCACTAAAATAGCACTAAAATAGCACTAAAATAGCACTAAAATAGCACTAAAAAAGCACTAAATTCTCCAATAGGTTTCATTTCATATTTTCGATGTGGGGGTGCCTACTGTACATACATCAATATTGTAGCATATATATAGGGGATAGGTCCCGGAACGGACGGTGGGGCACTTGATGTACATAAAGCTGGCATTGCCACTTAAGCACAACTCAATAAAATTTGTTGCAGAATTTATTGCTATTTTATTGCACAACAAAAAATGTATTCCTCTGAAACTGAGGCGATGCCAGTTTTATATTAAGCTGGCATTGCCACATTATAAAAACAATAAAACAGAAAATGTTGATAATCGACATATACGCCTGAATTTATTGCTAATTAATTGTTCCCAAAAAAACCAAACTTCGATTTTTTTACTCACTCCTAAAGGGGTATGTCACTACCCCTAGTGCCGGTAGCAGCAAGGCAACATGAAAACGGTGAGAAAAGACTAATTTCCTCAAAGGAGATTTCATTGCTAATTAATTGCTCCTAGAAGAACCCAATTTTTGCAGAATTTTTTGCACAACCCCTAAGGCGATATTCCAACCCTTAAGGTGAAGTGAAACACGTCGAGGAACTTGATCAACGTCGATAAAGACGATTTTTCTAAATGTCTACGTTGCCGACGTTCGTCTTTATATCGACAGCTGTATCGAATTATATTGGGTATTGTACCAAATGGCATTCTCGGCCTGTCGTTTTCGTACAGTAATTATAAAGAAATCTAAGTAAAACTCCAGAAATCCTCTGGATTCATGCTTTCTGGGGCCCTAATTGACTGCGGAGGGACCCCCTGCGCCATCTGTGATTTCCAGATCAATTAAATTTTCACTCCGAGACCTCGTATTCCCATCGTTTTAGCAAAGAAGCGCATACAACACTTTTTTTGCCTTTATCCCGTTCAAATGCGAGTTTATCGATTACCAGAGTGTTCTAAATTGTCGTAAAATTCTCCCGACCCTTTCGATTCTCATATCAGAACCTTCGATAATTGTATATTGATCGAAATATGAGAGCCCGACGCCATTTTGGTTCTGGTCTGGGCTGAGTTACAAAATTTTGTTAAGAAATCCAAATTTTGAATGTGTCAGGACTATTCTTATTGTTAGATGATCAGGATTGATGTGTCAAAGTTTCGGACAGTTTGGTCTAATACCCTTAAAAAACCTCCTTGGGAGGGTGTAGCATTTCTGGACAATATTGTGTTTTCACTGTCCTTATACAGAATACGTTTATACCAAGTTTCGTTGAAATCCCTCCATTGCTTCTACGAAAATTGTTATAAAAATCGAATTTTCGCCAAACTTTGGGGGGTTGTTTCACCCCTTAAATGTGGACCATTGCAGATATAAAAAAACACGTGTCTCTTAGATTTGTGTGTTCTTCAACATATATGAAAATCAATAAGATCGGGGGCGGACACTTGGGAATGTTTCCTTGTTAGATGATCAGGATTGATGTGTCAAAGTTTCGGACAGTTTGGTCTAATACCCTTAAAAAAAAGTGTTGTATTCGAATCGACTGATTTGAAGGGGGTTTCACTTAACCTTAAATGGTTTTAACTGAAAAAAAAAATATCAAGAAACTCACTAGAGTTTCGAGGCAAATACATTTGAGCGAGAAACTAGAAATACAGCATGTTGAGCAAAACGCGCCTTGTGTGCTTGAACTTGAGTGAGATGAGTATTTTTTTTATTTATTTATTAAAGTACCCCGCAGAAAATATTTCTACTGGCATTTTTATAAACCCGGTATAATTGACTGAATTTTACCCTATTTTAATGAAAATTTCGTTAGGTAAGTGATGTAATAAATTCCAAGAAAAATTAGGATAAAATCTATTTAAAAATCAACTAACAAGGGAGATTGCCCACCTTGGAAATTAAACAAATTTTGAAGTATACGTAGTTTTCTACGTGTATATTACGTATACTACATGACCTAGGGGGAGACAGAGGTCAATTGTAACAATTTTTACATTTTTAATTCTGTAATTGGCAGGAACGGATTTTCTCGATTGAAACTGGGTACATATATTAACCGAATTTTCTACTAAAATATGATTTAGGTTTTATCATTATACAAATTCATGAAAAATTGGCGTATATATACGTATAATACGTCCCTAGTTAACCACGCGAGCGCGCAGTATATTACGCCCTTCTATTTCTAAGTAGAAAATAATAACTCCAGTTAGAAATTTAATATGAAACAGTGTTAAGTCGAAAGAATTTTAAACACAAGTGTCAAACAAATTTGAAAAGAATTGAAATTTCATGAGTTTCAGGACCTTCCTTATAGTCTCCCTATTCACGTTGTAAAGTTTCAAACTATTCGGTAAATCGAGTTGGGAGAAAAGCTTCATAAACAAAACATCTTCGAGGCCACTTTCACATCACCTTAATGCCCGATGGTATCGAAATTTTTAACCGTTGTGACCGAGTCGAAAAAGAAACAAAATGGACGCACGGACCTTCACATTACTTCAGACGTAGAGGATATATTCGCAAAGAGCATCCAAAATATTTCATTCCATATCTTCTTTGGTCAGAAAGACAGGTTATTCCACACGTTCCTATTTGGGTCATCAGGGCATCTTGCGCCACTGCCAATTTTAACCGAGTGGATCACAAAATCATGACCAGGGGCCGAGAAAGAACTCCCCCTTCAATTCAACATTAAGGTGAAGTGAAACACGTCGAGGAACTTGATCGACGTCGATAAAGAAGATTTTTCTAAATGCCTACACTGCCGACGTTCGTTTTTATATTGACAGCTGGGTCGGATTATATTGGGCATTGTACCAAAAAGCATACGCCCCCTGTCGTTTCGGACAATAATTATAATGAAATCGATGTAAAATTCCAGAAATCCTCTGAATTCATGCTTTCTGGGGCCCCAATTGACTGCAGAGGGACCCCCTGCGCCATCTATGATTTACAGGTCAATTAAATTTTCACTCCGAGACCTCGTATTCCCATCGTTTTAGCATAGAAGCGCATAAAACACTTTTTTTTTCCTTTATCCCGTTCAAATGCGAGTTTCTCGATTACCAGAGTGTTCTAAATTGTCGTAAAATTGTCCTGACCATTTTGTTTCTCACATCAGAGCTTTGGATAATTGTGTATTAATCGAAATATGAGAGTTCGACGCCATTTTGGTTTTAGTCTGGGCTGAGGTAAACAATTTTTCTTAAAAAATCCAAATTTTGAATGTGTCAGGACAATTCTTAGATGATCAGGAGTGATGTATCAAAGTTTCGGACAGTTTGGTCCAATACCCTTAAAAAAAAAGTGTATTATTCGAATCGACTGATTTGAAGAGGATTTTACTTCACGTTAAGGTGAAGTGAAACGCGTTGAGGAGCTTGATCGACGTCGATAGATTACCAGAGTGTTATAAATTGTCATAAAATTGTCCTGACCCTTTTGTTTCTCACATCAGAGCCTTCGATAATTGTATATTAATCGAAATATGAGAGCTCGACGCCATTTTGGTTCTGATCTGGGCTGAGTTAAAAAATTCTTTTGAAAAATCCAAATTTTGAATGTGTCAGGACAATTCTTAGATGATCAATGTGTCAAAGTTTCGGACAGTTTGGTGTAATACCCTTAAAAAAAAAGTATTGTATTCGAATCGACTGATTTGAAGAGGGTTTCGCTTCACCTTAAAATCCAGCAATCGGGATTAGCCATCACGTTTTCCATTAATTAAGGGGATGTGAAGGTGGCATCCGAGGAGTCAATCGTTTATAAAATTTTTCTACGAACTGGATGTCTCAAATCGTTTCATACTTTAAAACGAATACGGAGACCCTAGGGTAGGATCTGAAACTCTCGAAATGTCATTTTTTATAAACGATTTTTAAAATACCTATAAACAAATTTGAAAATAATTGAAATTTCATGAGTGTCAGGACCTTCCTTATAGTCTTCCTATTCACGTTGTCAAGTTTCAAACTATTCGGTAAACCGAGTTGGGAGAAAAGTTTCACAAACAAAGCCTCTTCGACGTCACTTTCACATCACCTTAAGGAGACAAAGCAATCGTCAAGACCGATGACTGGAAATAGTCATTTTTAAGCCGGCATAAGACGCAAATAAGCTCAAAACGGGGCTAAATGTCGAATGATTCCAGTCGGACAATTGTCAGGTGTAGTCCATGACGGGTGCGTGCGCGCGCGCGCGCGAGAGAGGAAGAGAGAAAGAGGGAGAAACGAACGGATGACGAGGGGTAGAGGGGGGGTGCGTGTGTACAACGGCGACACCGAAATCAATAGCGAGAGAAGCACAGGAGGGGTATATGCATAGGGATCGAGTGTCAAAAAATGTCGGTAGAAAAGAAAAAAAACAAGGAAAAAATAGGAAAAATAGGAAAAGAAGGAAAAACGTGTACGCAAAGAGAAAGGACGTATTTCTGGGATCCCTCTCTCTCGCGGCATAAATGTGGTTACGATACCATCGTGCTGGCAGTCCGCTGGCAAAGATGGTGCACCGATCCTGGGCAAGGTTCCCTCTCGGGTAGAAGGAGACCCGGAGAGTTCATGGAGAGAGGTCGAGGCTCCTCGTTCGTCGCTCGGTCGGCGGACTCGCGGAGCGCTGAACGTAGAGGGCGCGGACCGCTCGTGCGCGACTCTCCCTCTCTCCCTCCCTCCCCTTTCGCCGGTTCACTCGCTCTCTCCCTATCTCTTTCTCCCTCGCTCCCCGGCCATGGTTCCCGGAGCGGGCGCTATGGCCTTCGCCCTCGAGGGGTAGAGAGATAACCGACGGGAAAACCGGGAAAGAACCGAATTCCGGCTGCTCTTCCCAAAATCGGGAAAGAACCGAACTCCGGTTGCTCTTCCCAAAACTGGGAAAGAACCGAACTCCGGTTGCTCTTCCCGAAATCGGGAGAGAACCAAACTCCGGTTACTCTTCCCGAAATCGGGAGAGAACCGAACTCCGGCTGCTCTTCCCGAAACTGGGAAAGAACCGAACTCCGGTTGCTCTTCCCAAAACCGAGAGAGAACCGAACTCCGGTTGCTCTTCCCAAAATCGGGAGAGAACCAAACTCCGGTTGCTCTTCCCGAAACCGGGAGAGAACCAAACTCCGGTTACTCTTCCCAAAATCGGGAGAGAACCAAACTCCAGCTACTCTTCCCAAACCCGGGAGAGAACCGAACTCCAGCTACTCTTCCCAAACCCGGGAGAGAACCGAACTCCGGTTGCTCTTCCCAAAATCGGGAAAGAACCGAACTCCAGCTGCTCTTCCAAAAATCGGGATAGAACCGAACTCCGGTTGCTCTTCCCAAACCCGGGAAAGAACCGAACTCCAGCTACTCTTTCCAAACCCGGGAGAGAACCGAACTCCAGCTACTCTTCCCAAACCCAGGAGAGAACCGAACTCCGGCTGCTCTTCCCAAACCCAGGAGAGAACCGAACTCCAGCTACTCCTCCCAAACCCGGGAAAGAACCGAATTCCGGCTACTCTTCCCGATCGACCCGGCAGAGGCGCACGGGTCGAGGGCGAAATCGAGCACGGCTCCTCGGTTCCTCGACTCCTCGGCGACAACGCGCAACTACGCGCGACAGGGACGAGCGTTTCTCAACGCCAGGACGGCAGAGCAGGAGGGGCCCCGCGTCCCGCGGAGGGTAAGGAGGGTGACGGAAAAAGCGGATCGTTGGCGGTGGTGGGGCAGGGCGCGCTACGACGGAGCGACGGCCCAACGGGTAGGGGGGAGGAGGAAAGGGGGATTTCGATCTCCAAACGTACCGGGGACATAACGGGGGGCGTGGACGTTTGCGTAGTAATGGGCGATAGGTGTTGCTGCTGCTGTCCCTGCTGCTGCTGTTGCTGCTGCAACTGCTGCTGGTGCATGTTGTTTTGGCCGGCGTCCATGACGCCGCCGGGGTACCACCACTGAACGCCCGGTGGGGCGGTAGGGGCGCCTCCCCCCCCGCCCCCACCCCCGGATGCCCCGAGTCTGTAGTCGTAACCTCCCCGCATACACGAGCCTACCGGCGTCGACGTCGAGACGCTCGACTGTGTCCCCGTCGTCGCTGGGTTTTGGAAGCTGGAGGCCATTTTGTAGGAGAAGAGCTGCTGCGTCGCCGCGGCGGTGCTCCGGACGATCTCCTGGTGGTGCGGCGACAGCTGTTGCTGCGGCGACTGTTGATTCATCAGGTGCTGATGATGATTCTGCTGCTGCTGTTGCTGTTGCTGCTGCTGCTGCTGCTGTTGCTGCTGTTGCTGCTGCTGCTGCTGTTCCGGGGAGACGGCGTTAAGGCCCGAAGGCCACCAGACGGGACCGGCGTTACCGTCTTCGCGGCTTTGCGGGCTCGCAGTGGCCCAACCACCGGCAACGCGATGGTGCTCCGACATGTCACAGGTCACCCGACGTGATCCGTTCCCGCGTCAGAGTAGCCGGCGCGCTATGCCGAGGACCGAGCCCAGGAATCTCCGCCACACTCGCGGCAACGACACCCCACGGCACGCACACGCGTCGACCTCTCTGTCACATCCGTAAGGGGCCCCTCTCCGGTACGCACCCGCGTGTACCTAGCTCGTAGCTCTCGCGGGCCCCCGACAACCCCGCGAGCTCCACCGTTCACTCCTTTCCCCTTCTTTCTCTCTCTCCCTCTCTCTCTCTTTCTCCCGCCTTTTTCTCGCTCCCCCTTCCTCTCCGGGAATATCACGCTATCGTTCTCCTATCGTCCGCTCTCTCTCTCCCTTATGTATATATATNTATATATGTATATATATATACACACACACGGCCAGAAGGAGAGGCGACGGGCAAACGTCCGGATCTACCGGCGACGGTGGTTCGCGCACCCCGCAGCCGAGCCCGGAGCTCGCCCACCGGTGCCACTCTACCGCACCCGACGTACACGCCGGATACACGCCGGATACACCCCGGATACCTGACGGATATCACTGGCCGGCAGATGGCCCGACGCGTCCAAGGCCCGCGGGCGTCCACACGCGTTTCGTTTTTCCCGGTCTCCGTCTATACGCGGAGATATGTACGTTACGTTGGGATGCGGCCTCTACTCGACGCGCTTAGCTCCAACGTTCGTTAGGTTCGCTCGGGGGCGGGCGGGCGGCAGGGGAGGGGAGGGACTCCCCCTCGGCGGCGTGCCCCTTCCACTCGACGGGCGATCGCCTCTCTCCGTCGCGCTCGGGACCTTTTCCAATTCGGTAGGACCGTCTCGCTTCCTCGCGCGTCGTCGCCTTCTTTCTCTTTCGCTCCGGGTCTCGGTCGGTACGCGTACGTCCGCGTCTCCCGGTATCCTCCCTCTCGCTCGCTCTATGCCTCCCCGGCCCCCGCGGAGCGCTCTCCCTCTCGCTCGCGCATCACTCGGGGCGCCTCTGGCCGTCTCTTTCGCGCGCGTGCGCGCTGCTCCGCGTCGGGTCCGTTTTACCGCGCAGCCGGCGCAAGTCCCTTCCCCGCCGCCCCCGGCTGGCCTTAGGTTCTTTCCTTCTCTCTCTCTCGCTCTCTCGCTCTCTCGCTCGGCCTCTCCCTCGCTCCCTCTTCCTCTCTCTCGCTCTATCTCTCTCTCCGGCCGCCGCAACGCCACGCCGCGCTGAGGCACGTCGACGTCTCCGCGACGCGTGTCACTCTCTCTTCCGAACGTTAATGACGCACGTGCGCCTCCGCACTGGTACTCTTCCCGGTACGCGTCGTTCGCGCCACGCCTGCCCACTAAGCCGAATACCGCGAGAGCCGACGCGCACGAGACAACGTCAAAGGAAACCTCCGGTATCCTTCGGTACGATTCACACGGATGTGCCGCGCACACGAGTTAGCCTGCCGGACGGACCGGCTGGGCCTCTTTCTCTCTCTCTCTCTCGCTCTCTCCTGCGCGCCCTTCTCGGGCGACGGGGCCTCGCTCCGTCTCTCTTCCGCCTCTCTGGCGCAGTCTTCCTTCCAACCGACGCGGCGCGCGGGCGGCGTTGCCGGCTCGCGCTCTCGTTCGGCCGCTCCACAAAGGAGTGCGCGGCCCGCTCGGCCAATCGCGGCGCCCCGCTCGCCCGGCGGGGATGGCGGGAGACCGCCATCGCCGCCGCGGCTCGGAGAGATCGCGCAACGTCGCCTTCCGCCTGCTGGGAATCCGGGCGGACCGATCCGAACTTGGCCGAAGCCGACGCCGATGGCCGCTCGCCGCTGCCAAAGCGCCGCGCAGTCGCGGTAGAGGGGCGGACCGAACCCTTCTCTACCCTTGAAACTCTCGAGGTCAACTTTTAGGTAGAGGTTTCCTTGCCGCGCGTTTTTCTCGCCGTTCCTCTTTTCGCCCTCCCGCCGACCCGTGGTCGCGCTCTACAGACGCGACGGGAAAGAGCTTTTACTTCGCGAGCTGGATACTCTTCCCGCGTTGCCACTTCCTGCTTTTACCGACTTGGGCACTTTCTTTCCCTAGCGGTTTCCACGCTCCTACGATATGAGCCAACGGACGCGATTCTACGCCGTCTTTTCATTATTCGCTTTTGGAAACATTCTTAACATATTTATCGATTATAAGTGTACCATTTTGCTTTTTCGCTAAATTGAAAGAATTCATGAATTAGTGGATTTAGGGACGTACGTAGACATCTTAAAGACTGGATTTTGTAAATTACTATTGCAAATAATTTCATATAACGTATGACGGCGTCCATGATAATGATGAAAACCATTGGAAGTGGAGCTCATCAATGTGCGATTTTATATAAAACGGAATATTAAAAATGGAAAGAATTTAAGAATTAATGGATTTATGTACATACGTAGACATCTTAAAGACTTAATTTTGTAAATTACTATTGCAAATAATTTCAATAGAATGTATGACGACGACCATGATAATGATGAAAACCATTGGAAGTGCAGCTCATCAATGTGCGATTTTATATAAAACGGAATATTAAAAATGGAAAGAATTTAAGAATTAATGGATTTATGTACATACGTAGATATCTTAAAGACTTGATTTTGTAAATTACTCCTGCAAATAATTTCAATACAACGTACGACGACGTCCTTGACAATGTTGAAAACCATTGGAAGTGGAGCTCATCAATGTGCGATTTTATATAAAACGAAATATTAAAAATGGAAAGAATTTAAGAATTAATGGATTTATGTACATACGTAGACATCTTAAAGACTTAATTTTGTAAATTACTCCTGCAAATTATTCCAATATAACGTATGACGCCGTCCTTCACAATGTTGCAAACCATTGGAAGTGCAGCTCATCGATGTGCCATATTACATAAAACGAAATATTAAAAATTCCCGCGTTTTCAAAAGTAAACCATAATTTTTCTTCACAAAATTGAAAGAATTCAAGAATTAATGGATTTATGTACATACCTAGACATCTTAAAGTCTTAATTTTGCAAATTACTCCTGCAAATAATTTTAATACTACGTATGACGACGTCCATGATAATGATGAAAACCATTGGAAGTGCAGCTCATCGATGTGCGATTTTATATAAAACGAAATATTAAACATTGAAAGAATTTAAGAATTAGTGGATTTATGTACACACGTAGACATCTTAAAAACTTAATTTTGTAAATTACTGCTGTAAATAATTTCAATACAATGTATGACGACGACCATAATAATGTTGAAAACTATTGGAAGTGGAGCTCATCAATGTGCGATTTTATATAAAACGAAATATTAAACATTGAAAGAATTTAAGAATTAATGGATTTATGTACATACGTAGACATCTTAAAGACTTAATTTTGTAAATTACTATTGCAAATAATTTCAATAGAATGTATGACGACGACCATGATAATGATGAAAACCANCGTATGAAGACGACCATTAATAATGTTGAAAACCATTGGAAGTGGAGCTCATCGATGTGCGATTTTATATAAAACGAAATATTAAAAATTCCCTCGTTTTCAAAAGTAAACAATAATTTTTCTTCACAAAACTGAAAGAATTTAAGAATTAATGGATTTATGTACATACGTAGACATCTTAAAGTCTTAATTTTGCAAATTACTCCTGCAAATAATTTCAATACAACGTATGACGACGACCATAATAATGTTGAAAAACCATTGGAAGTGGAGCTCATCGATGTGCGATTTTATATAAAACAAAATATTAAAAATTCCCACATTTTCAGAAGTAAAGCATTCTTGTAACCATTTTTCTCATCTTTATCGATTATAAGTATCCCATAATCTTTGTTCGCTAAATTGAAAGAATTCAAGAATTAGTTGATTTATGTACGTACGTGGACGTCTTAAAGACTTAATTTTGTAAAAATACTCCTGTAAATAATTTCAATATAACGTATGACAATGTTGCAAACCATTGAAAGTGGAGCTCATCGATGTGCGATTTTACATAAAACGAAATATTAAAAATTGAAAGAATTTAAGAATTAATGGATTTATGTACATACGTAGACATCTTAAATACTTGATTTTGTAAATTACTATTGCAAATAATTTCAATACAACGTATGACGACGTCCATGATAATGTTGAAAACCATTTGGAAGTGGAGTTGATCGATGCACGATACTACGTAAAGCAAAATATTAAAAATTCCCGCGTTTCCAAAAGTAAAACATTGTTTGTACCTTAACATGTATAAATTTATTAAAGCGATACGACGGCGTTCCATGTTTGTATTAATTACGAAAGTTTTTCATTCGAAAATCATTTTCACCTCGGACAAAGATCGTCATTAAATAGAGCGTTTCACTTAAATCTTGAAATTTACTACACGGAGGAAAATAAGAGCTTAAAAGTTACAGATGTCCCATTAAACAATTAATTCAGCTACTCTTACTTTCTCACATGATCAGTTAGCAGAAAGATTTCTGTAAGAGCCATCTGTAAATGCAGCTGAAAAAGGCTGTTAATATTGACACGGATAAAATTGCTATATGTGAAGCATTATAAAACAGTAGGAGCAACAAAAAATATCTGTTGATAATACAGATATTCACTCTGTTCAGGTTATCGTTTTCGGAAACATTAAACCTACGTTATGGATAAAATCTGAAAATTTCACAGATTAAATCCGTTAAGGTGAACTGAAACCCCCCTCAAATCAGTCAATTCGAATACAACGCTTTTTTTTAAGGGTATTAGGCCAAACTGTCCGAAACTTGGACACATCAATCCTGATCATCTAAGAATTGTCCTGACACATGAAAAATTTGGATTTTTTAAACCAATTTGTTAACTCAGCCCAGACTAGAACCAAAATGCCGTCGAGCTCTCATATTTCGATCGATATACAATTATCGAAGGCTCTGATATGAGAATTGAAAGGGTCAGGACAATTTTGCGACAATTTAGAACACTCTGGTAATCGATAAACTCGCATTTGAACGGGATAAAGGCAAAAAAAGTGTTGTATGCGCTTCTATGCCAAAACGATGGTGATACGAGGTCTCGGAGTGAAAATTTAATTCACCTGGAAATCACAGATGGCGCAAGGGGTCCCTCTGCAGTCAATTGGGGCCCCAGAAAGCATGAATTCAGAGGATTTCTGGAATTTTACATCGATTTCATTATAATTATTGTCCGAAACGACAGGGGGCGTATGCTTTTTGGTACAATGCCCAATATAATCCGACACAGCTGTCACTATAAAAACGAACGTCGGCGACGTAGGTATTTAGAAAAATCTTCTTTATCGACGTCGATCAAGTTCCTCGACGTGGTTCACTTCACTT